GATGCTATTCTTTAACGATGATTGAGTCCATTAAGCACCGATTTGGCCGGATTTATTCTGGGTCAATTTTTGGCAGATTCCAAAGGGGTACCATCATAGATTTTTTTGGGAATTTGTCTGAAATGCCATTTTCTTTCAATTCTGGAGGCTACAGATCACAGAATCAGGCCGAGGCTATTCTCCACCGATAATGAAGTCTGTTGATCCTATTCTCCACGAATGATAAGTCCATTAAGCACCGATTTGGGACAATATATTTTTGGTGTGCATTTTCGTAATTTTTTGGGCGACGAAAGACCATTTTCTTTTGATATCGAATGCTATACATCACCGATTCGGTCTGGGCCTATTCTTATATGATGATTGAGTCCATTAAGCACAGATTTGGGAGGATTTATTCTGGGTTAATTTTTGGCAGATTCCAAAGGGGTACCATCACAAATTTGTGGCAATTTTTCTGAAATGCCATTTTCTTTCAATTCTGGAGGCTACAGATCAGAGAATCAGGTCGAGGCTATTCCCCACCAATAATAAAGGTTATTGATCCAATTCTCCAAGGATGATATGCCCATTAAGCACCGATTTTGTCGAATTTATTTTCGGATGGCAATTTTGTAATTTTCTGGGCGACGAAAGGCTATTTTCATTGGATATTGAAGGCTACAGATCACGGATTCGGCTTGAGGCTATTCTTCAACGATGATTGAATCCATTAAGCACCGATATGGGGTGGATTTATTCCTGGTCAATTTTTGGCAGATTCCAAAGGGGTACCATCATAGATTTCGAGCGATTTATTCGAAATGCCATTTTCTTTCGATTCTTGAGGCTACAGTTCACGGAATCAGGCCGAGACTATTCTCCATCTAAATGTAGTCTGTCGATCCTATTCTCCACGGATGATAAGTCCATTAAGCATCGATTTGGGCCAATTTATTTTCGGGGTGCATTTTCGTAATTTTTTGGGCAACGAAAGGCCATTTTCTTTGGATATTGAAGGCAACGGATCACGGATTTGACCTGAGGCTATTCTTCAACGATGATTGAGTCCATTAAGCACCATTTTGGGCGGATTTATTCCGAGTCCATTTTTGACAAATTTTGAAGGGGTACCATCACAGATTTCGGGCGATTTTGTCTGAAATGCCATTTTCTTTCGATTCTGAACACTACAGATCACGGAATCAGGCCGAGGCTATTCTCCACGGATGATAAGTCCATTAAGCATCGATTTGGGCCAATTTATTTTCGGATGACATTTTCGTAATTTTTTGGGCGACGAAAGACTAATTTCTTGTGATATTGAAGGCTACAGATCACGCATTTGCCATGATGCTATTCTTTAACGATGATTGAGTCCATTAAGCACCGATTTGGCCGGATTTATTCTTGGTCAATTTTTGGCAGATTCCAAAGGGGTACCATCATAGATTTTTTTGGGAATTTGTCTGAAATGCCATTTTCTTTCAATTCTGGAGGCTACAGATCACAGAATCAGGCTGAGGCTATTCCCCACTGATAATGAAGGCTATTGATCTAATTCTCCACGGATGATATGCCCATTAAGCACCGATTTTGGCGAAATTATTTTTGGATGGCATTTTCGTATAATTTTTGGGCGACGAAAGGCCATTTCCATTGGATATTGAAGGCTACAGATCACGGCTAAGGCTTGAGGCTATTCTTCAACGATGATTATGTCCATTAAGCACCGATTTCGGCTGATTTATTCCGGGTCAATTTTTGGAAGATTCCAAAGGGTTACCACACAGATTTCGTGCGATTTTTCCGAAATGCCATTTTCTTTCGATTCTGGAGACTACAGACCCAGGAATCATGCCGAGACTATTCTCCACCGATAATGAAGTCTATTGATCTTATTCTCCACGGATGATAAGTCCATTAAGCACCGATTTGGCCCAATTTATTTTATGATGACATTATCGTAATTTTTATGGGCGATGAAATGCCATTTTCTTTGGACATTGAAGGCTACAGATCACGGATTCGGCCTTAGGCTATTCTTCAACGATGATTGAGTCCATTAAACACCGATTTAGTCGAATTTATTCCAGGTCCATTTTTGGCAGATTCCAAAGCGGTACCATCACAGATTTCGGGCGATTTTTCCGAATTGCCATTTTCTTACGATTCTTGAGGATACAGATCACGGAATCAGGCCCATGCTATTCTCCACCGATAATGAAGTCTTTTGATCCTATTCTCCATGGATGATAAGTCCATTAAGCACCGATTTGGGCCAATTTATTTTCGGATAGCATTTTCGTAATTTTTTGGGCGACGAAAGGCCATTTTCTTTGGATATGGAAGGCTACAGATCACGGATTTGGCCTGAGGCTATTCTTCAACGAAGATTGAGTCCATTAAGCACAGTTTTAGGAGGATTTATTCCGGATCAATTTTTGGCAGATTCCAAAGGGGTACCATTACAGATTTTGGGCGATTATTCCGAAATGCCATATTCTTTCGATTCTGAACACTGGAGATCACGGAATCAGGCCGAGGCTATTCTCCACCGATAATGAAGTCTGTTGATCCTATTCTCCACGGATGATAAGTGCATTAAGCACCGATTTGGGCCAATTTATTTTCGGGGTGCATTTTAGTAATTTTTTAGGCGAAGAAAAGCCATTTTCTTTTTATATTGAAGGCTACAGATCACGGATTTGGCCTTAGGCTATTCTTCAACAATGATTGAGTCCATTAAGCACCATTTTCGGCGGATTTATTCCGAGTCAATTTTTGGCAGATTCCAAAGGGGTACTATCACAGATTTCGTTCGATTTTTCCGAAATGCCATTTTCTTTCAATTCTGGAAGCTACAGATCACGGAATCAGGCCGTGACTATTCTCCACCGATAATGAAGTCTATTGATTCTATTCTCCACGGATAATAAGTCCATTAAGCATCGATTTGGGCAAATTTATTTCAGCATGGAATTTTCGTAATTTTTTGTGCGACGAAAGGCCATTTTATTTTGATATTGAATTCAACACATCACCCATTCGCCCTGGGACTATCTTAAATGATGATTGAGTCCATTAAGCACGGATTTGGGAAGATTTATTCCGGGTCAATTTTTGGCAGATTCCAAAGGGGTACCATCACAGATTTCGTGCAATTTTTCCGAAATGTCATTTTCTTTTGATTCAGGAGGCTACAGATCCAGGAATCAGGCCGAGGCTGTTCTCCACCGATAATGAAGTCTCTTGATCCTATTCTCCACGGATGATATGTCCATTAAGCACCGATTTGGGCCAATTTATTTTGAGATGGAATTTTTGTAATTTTTTGGGCGACGAAAAGCCATTTTCTTTGGACATTGAAAGCTACAGATCACAAATTCGGCCTGAGGCTATTCTACAACGATGATTGAGTCCATTAAGCACCGATTTGGGCGGATTTATTCCATGTCAATTTTTCGCTGATTCCAAAGGGTTACAGTCACTGATTTTGAGCGATTTTTCTGAAATACCATTTTCTTTCGATTCTTGAGGCTACAGTTCACGGAATCAGGCCGAGGCTATTCTCCACCGATAATGAAGTCTGTTGATCCTATTCTCCACGGATGATAAGTCCATTAAGCACCGATTTGGGACAATGTATCTTACGATGACATTTTCGTAATTTTTATGGGCGACGAAAAGCCATTTTCTGTGGATATTGAAGGCTACAAATCACAGATTGGGCCTGAGGCTATTCTTAATCGATGATTGAGTCCATTAAGCACCGATTTGGGCGGATTTATTCCAAGTCAATTTTTCGCAGATTCCAAAGGGGCACCATCACAGATATCGTACGATTTTTCCGAAATGCCATTTTCTTTCGATTCTAGAGGCTACAATTCACGGAATCAGGCCGAGGCTATTCTCCACCGATAATGAAGTCTGTTGATCCTATTCTCCACGGATGATAAGTTCATTAAGCACCTATTTGGGCAAATTTATTTTCAGGGTGCATTTTTGTAATTTTTTGGCCGACGAAAGACCATTTTCTTTGGATATTGAAGGCTACAGATCACGGATTTGGCCTGAGGCTATTCTTCAACGATGATTGAGTCCATTAAGCACCGATTTGGGGGGTTTTATTCTGGGTCAATTTTTGGCAGATTCCAAAGGGGAACCATTAGGGCTGGAGATCGGGTCGGGTCCTAGTACCCGGATCGAAATATGCGGGTACCCGGACCCAAAAAACGTCAGTTTGAGGAACCAGACCCGACCCATACTCGGTTCTTGGGTACCCGAGACGCAAAGCCACGGAACTCGGGTATGGTTCGGTCACCCGAATACCAATCAGCCATGGTTCTTTTTCCAAATACAACCTGTTACAGCAGCATTATTCAAGAAAAAACTGACATGAACAAACTAGAATCTTGAAAACTAAACATACACCTGAAAAAAGAGTTACATAACAAACACAACCAAGTCAATTCATCATCAGTTCACCATCTTAGTTCAACAAGAAAAGTAGAAAACCCCAAATTAAAAGTTTCAACAGCAAACACACATTACAGATAGTCATTCCATAGATTGTACTTGGGCAACAAAATAAAGAAAACAAATGGAAAGATCATTATGTCTTCCACTTCCTGGAGTTCCATTCCATCCAAATATCCAATCCATCTCACTCCCTCTCGCTTTCTCCATGGGCAGAATCAACTTGCTGCTCATCATTCTCCTCCTCCTCAATCTCATCACTGGAAACTTCATAAGATTCATCATTTGGTTCTCCTACTAATGAAGGGACTGCATTAGATTTAGCCCCTCCATTTTCTTGTGCAAGGGATGCATCATTCACAGCTACCACCATGCCTTGAAACTCTGATTCCATTCATTACATAACATAAAAAGCATTCAATTTATGTAGTAAATTGGAAGTAAAATATTCTGAAAATTTAGTGAACAGATCACTAAAAACTAATAGAAGATAGTAGTGTAGAGATTTACCCTTTTCAAACTCTTCCATCTCGTCCAAATCCTCATCCTAGTGGTAAGTTCGAATGTGCCAGCCAATCTTCAGTGCAGATTAATGCCTCCACGATTTTGGGAGTCAAAGAACTTCTAAAGGAGTCCAATACACGAGCTCCAGTACTGAAAGCACTCTCTGAAGCTACACCTGATATAGGGACAACAAGTAAATCTTTGGCCATTTCACTCAAAATTGGATACCTGGCAGCATTGTTCTTCCACCACAACAAGATGTCATACTTGGGATTCTTACCATCTCCTTCACGGAGTTCAACCAAGTACCTCTCCAACTCACTTGCCTTGGCAGCAGCTTCTGTCATTGAATAATCATCGTCACAAGAGTTGGCCAGCACATTGGGAGTAGGTAGTGAGTTCTGCCTTGTCATTGAAGAACCCTCAGATTGAGTCCCCTCTCTAGAAGTAGCAGCCACATTGTTTCTTCTACTCTCATATAATTTGAATAGAGCAGTGAGTTCTCCATTCAACTCTTCAATCAATTCATCACCTCGTGTTTCCCCATACAACTTCCTCAATGCATACACAGGATAATGCATTTTATGCCTTGGATCAAACACTACAGCTAGGTAAAACAACCTATTCATTCTTGATTTCCCTTCCTCGCTTTCATGCCAATATTTGCACAGTTTGGCATGCATCCGAGAAGCCATATTCTTCACTTCTTCCTCCTCACTCTCCTCCATTTGCTTAATTTCAAAAAATACAGCAAACAGTTGCCTTAGGAAAAGGTGAGAAGTCACATACTTGGTCCCAGAAACAAGCAAGGTGAGCTCGTAGAAGTATCTCAAGTGCTTGGACAGATTCCTCGCACTTTTCCAATCAGCCGTAGTGGGAGGACCAATCACTTGACCTTTGTACTTCTTGGCCTTGGTAAGATCAGCCACAAACTCAGAATTCTCCAATGCAAGTGTCTTAAATGCCTTCTCAAACTTTTCTGCTGCCTCCAACATCATATATGTGGAGTTCCATCTAGTTGGAACGTCCAAGATCACTATTTTCTTCGACTTGATACCATGGAAGTTCACACAATTCTTGAATCTCATCATCCTAGATGGTGAAGCACGAACCCACCTTAGTGCCTCCCTGATTCGAACAACCGACACCCCAATTTCCTCCAACCCATCACTGACAATAAGATTTACAATATGCGCAACACAACGCATATGTAAATAAGCACCACCCTTAACACAACTACCCCAATCAATCAGTTTCTCCTTCAAAAAACCAATTGCCGTGTCATTTGCACTGGCATTATCCACTGTGATGGAGAATACATCCTTCAAACCCCACTCCGTCAATGAATCAACAATTGCACTACCAATATCGACTCCCTTGTGGCTGGAAATGAGACGAAAGCTAATGACTTTCTTGTGAAGCTTCAGTCACTCCCAATAAAATGTGCAGTTAAGCACAAATAGTTGAAATTCTGCAAGGATGTCCAACAATCTGTAGTAAAAGAAACCCGACCAGCACAATGATACTTGAAATAATCTATCAACTTCACCCTTTCCTCAACAAACAGCTTGAAACAATCTTCCCTAATAGCCTTCCTCCCAGTAATCCTAAACTGTGGGCAAGCATCAAGACAAAAGCTCTTGAACCCTACTCTCTCAACATACCTAAAAGGCAGCTCGTCCATAATAATCATACGAGCCAATGCAAATCTGACATTCCCCTAATCAAACCTCCAATTGGCTAGTGCTAATACTCTTTCATCACTTGTTGGTTGCAAGTTTAACAACATTTGAGAACCTGATTCCTTCCTCTTTTTCCTACACAATTTGGTATGTTTATGGAGAGCAGAAGTACCGTTGCTTCTTGTATCGGCAGAAAGCTTCTTTATGCAAAACAAACACCTCGCTTTCCTAATTGGATCTTTCCCCGACGCCCTCTCAATGAACAACTCATACTCGTAATAGGCATCTGACCTTGTCTTCCCCAGCACTAGTGGTTCCTCAACCACTTGGTCTGTAGGAAGAGGAGCAGAGGCTTGAACTGGAGTCGACGTCGGAGGAGCACCGGCAGGGATTGGAGTCGGAGGAGCGGCGGCGGCAACAGACAGAGGAGGTTCAGAAGCAGCGACATTTTGAGGAGGACCAGCGGCAGCTACGGTTGGAGGAGGAGGACCCGCGCCGGCGACAAAACTTGCAGATGGAGGTACACTTCCAATAGATTCACCTCCATTCTTCGATCCCTTCTTAGCCTTCCCTGCGACAGGTAAAGGATCAGGGGTTGCTGCTGATTTCTCTCTCTTCCTCCCACCAACTCTGTCCATTATTGACCAAGGATGACGATCGACGAAGGATGACAGTCGGCAATTTGGTGGTGGAGACTTAGGGTTAGGTTTTTGTCTGCGAGATGGAAGTGGGGAAAGAAAATGAAGGGTGCGATGCGATTTCGCTGTCTACTCTATGCTCTGATGGCTGGAGACTTAGGGTTAGGGGCTGCTGAGGCTTGAGGGGTGAGGGGGCCGAATCGGCTGGGCTTGGCCCTTGGGGCCTGAAGGCTGTGCTGGCCCATATATGTGGTTGGGTTGGGCCATATTATAATTGGCCCTGTGGGTTGAGGAGTGGTTCCACTTCGAGTCCTGTTATTTTCGGGTCCGGGTCCGGTTTACCCAAAACCCGAAAAGCAGCCACATACGATACCGAAACCCATTTTTCACTATGAAATGTCGGTTCCCGGGTACCCAAAACCCGGAAATTTCGGTCCGATTCCGTGTTACCCATAAAACCGACCACGAACGTCTAGCCCTAAGTACCATCACAGATTTCAGGCGATTTTTCTAAAATGCCATTTTCTTTTGATTCTGCACACTACAGATCATGGAATCAGGCCGAGGCTATTCCCCACAGATAATGAGGTCTATTGGTCATATTCTCCACGAATGATAAGTTCATTAAGCACCGATTTGGGCCAATTTATTTTAGGATGGCATTTTCGTAATTTTTTAGGCGACGAAAAGCCATTTTTTTCGATATTGAAGGCTACAGATCATGGATTGGGCCTAAGGCTATTCATCAATGATGATTGAGTCCATTAAGCACCGATTTGGGCGGATTTATTAAGGGTCAATTTTTGGCAGATTCCAAAGGGGTACCATCACAGATTTTGGGCGATTTTTCCAAAATGCAATTTTCTTTCGATTCTTGAGGCTACAGTTCACGAAATCAAGCCGAGGCTATTCTCCCCCGATAATTGAGTTTGTTGATCCTATTCTCCACGGATGATAAGTGCATTAAGCACCGATTTGGGCCAATTTATTTTCGGGGCGCATTTTCGTAATTTTTTGGGCGACGAATGGCCATTTTCTTTGGATATTGAAGGCTACAGATCACGGATTTGGACTGAGTCTATTCTTCAATGATGATTGAGTCTATTAAGCACCGATTTGGGTGGATTTATTCCAGGCCAATTTTTGGCGGATTCCAAAGGGGTACCATTACAGATATTGGGCGATTTTTCCGAAATGCAATTTTCTTTCGATTCTTGAGGCTACAGTTCACGGAATCAGGTCGAGGCTATTCTCCCCAGATAATGAAGTCTGTTGATCCTATTCTCCACGGATGATAAGTGCATTAAGCACCGATTTGGGTCAATTTATTTTCGGGGTGCATTTTCGAAATATTTTGGGCGACGAAAGGCCATTTTCTTTGGATATTGAAGGCTACAGATCACGGATTTAGCCTGAGACTATTCTTCAACGATGATTGAGTCCATTAAGCATCGTTTTGGGTGGATTTATTCAGGGTCAATTTTTGGCAGATTCTAAAGGGGTACCATCACAGATTTCGGGCAATTTTTCGGAAATGCCATATTCTTTCGATTCTGAACACTACAGATCACGGAATCAGGCCGAGGCTATTCTCCACCGATAATGAAGTCTGTTGATCCTATTCTCCACAGATGATAAGTCCATTAAGCCCCAATTTGGGCCAATTTATTTTCGGTTGACATTTTCGTAAATTTTTGGGCGACGAAAAGCCATTTTCTTTGGATATTGAAGGCTACAGATCACGGATCTTGCCTAGGCTATTCTTCAACGATGATTGAGTCCATTAATCACCGATTTGGGCGGATTTATTCCAGGTCATTTTTGGCAGATTCCAAAGGGGTATCATCACAGATTTCGGGCGATTTTTCCGAAATGTCATTTTCTTTCAATTCTGAAGGCTACATATCACGGAATCAAGCCGAGGCTATTCTCCACCGATAATGAAGTCTATTGATCCTATTCTTAACAGATGATAAGTCCATTAAGCACCGATTTGAGCCAATTTATTTTCGGGGTGCATTTTTGTAAGTTTTTGGGCGACAAAATGCCATTTACTTTGGATATTGAAGGCTACAGATCATGGATTTGGCCTGAGGCTATTTATCAATGATGATTGAGTTCATTAAGCACCGATTTGGGCGGATTTAATCAGGGCCAATTTTTGGCAGATTCCAAAGGGCTACCATCACAGATTTTGGGCGATTTTTCCAAAATGCAGTTTTCTTTAGATTCTTGATGCTACAGTTCACGGAATCAGGCCGAGGCTATTCTCCCCCGATAATGAAGTCTGTTGATCCTATTCTCCATGAATGATATGTCCAATTAGCACCGATTTGAGCCAATTTATTTTCAGGGTGCTTTTTTGTAAGTTTTTGGGCGACAAAAGGCAATTTTCTATGGATATTGAAGGCTACATATCACAGTATCAGGCCTGAGGCTATTCATCAATAATGATTGAGTCCATTAAGCACCGATTTGGGCGGATTTAATCAGGGTCAAATTTTGGCAGATTCCAATTGGGTACCATCACAGATGTCGAGCGATTTTTCGAAATGCCATTTTCTTACGATTCTTGAGGATACATATCACGGAATCAGGCCGAGGCTATTCTTCACGGATAATGAGGTCTATTGATCCTATTCTCCACGAATGATAAGTCCAATTAGCACCGATTTGGGCCAATTTATTTTCAGATGGAATTTTTGTATTTTTTGGGCGACGAAAGCCATTTTCTTTGGTTATTGAAGGCTACAGATCACAGATTCGGCCTGAGGCTATTCAACGATGATTGAGTCCATTAAGCACCGATTTTGGTGGAGTTATTTCGGGTCAATTTTTGGCAGAATCCAAAGGGGTACCATCACAGATTTCAAGCGATTTTTCCGAAATGCCATTTTCTTTCGATTCTGAACACTACAGATCACGGAATTTGGCCGAGGCTATTCTCCACAGATAATGAGGTCTATTGATCCTATTCTCCATGAAACATAAGTCCATTAAGCACCGATTTGGGATAATTTATTTTCGGATGGCATTTTTCGTAATTTTTTAGGTGACGAAAGACCATTTTCTTTGGATAATGAAGGCTACAGATTACGGATCTGGCCTGAGGCTATTCTTCAACGATGATTGAGTCCATTAAGCACGGATTTGGGAGGATTTATTCCGGGTTAATTTTTGGCAGATTCCAAAGGGGTACCATCACATATTTCTGGCGATTTTTCCGAAATGTCATACTCTTTCGATTCTGAACACTACAGATCACGGAATCAGGCCGAGGCTATTCCCCACAGATAATTAGGTCTATTGATCCTATTCTCCACGAATGATAAGTCAATTAAGCACCGATTTGGGCCAATTTATTTTCAGATGGAATTTTTGTAATTATTGGGCGACGAAAGGCCATTTCTTTGTATATTGAAGGCTACAGATCATGGATTCGGCCTAAGGCTATTCATCAATAATGATTGTGTCCATTAAGCACAGATTTGGGCGGATTTATTCAGGGTCCTATTCATCAATAATGATTGCAATTTTCTTTAGAATCTTGAGGCTACATTTCACGGAATCAGGCGAGGATATTCTCCCCCGATAATGAAGTCTGTTGATCCTATTCTCCACAGATGATAAGTCCATTAAGCACCGATTTGGGCCCATTTATTTTCGGTTGGCATTTTCGTAATTTTTGTGGGCGACGAAAGGCCATTTTCTTTGGATATTGAAGGCTACAGATCACAGATTCAGCCTGAGGCTATTCTTCAACGATGATTGAGTCAATTAAGCACCGATTTGGGCGGATTTATTCCAGGTCAATTTTTGGCAGAATCCAAAGGGGTACCATCACAGATTTCGAGCGATTTTTCAGAAATGCCATTTTCTTTCGATTGT